TTTTCAACATTTGACCCCGGGGCACCATATATTTTTACCAACTACTTCTGATTCATGTTTCATGGGAAAAGCATAAGTATAGACGATTCTAAAATCCTTTATATCTAACGTGTTTTATCCATTCTGAAAAATGAAAAAAACATTTCAAAATTAATAAATAAATTCGAATACATCTTCTAGCGGTAGAAATTGTCAAGCCGACCACTTTGAAATCATAATGCATAACTTATACCTGAATCATTCAGTGGCTGATAAAAGTCAAGAACATCTTCTGGCGGTGAGAAATGTTAAGTGAACCAATTTTTCAATCTATTATTATGTGTTTTACTTGGAAACTCGTTTAACGTTAGCCACATCATTGGAACGCAGAAAATGATTAGAATTTTGTCGTTTGTCTAAGGATTCTTTACCAATGGGGATAAAGATTGCCCACTGTGAGATAAATTTATGACGTCGTACGAAAAGAATGACAGCTGAAATGTCGTTAGTTAATGTGTTCAGAATAGCGGTAAAACTATTTTTCACTCATTGTCGTCTCGTTTTGCAGAATTAGACTCTTCAGCATTCTCACGTATATGCATATTCGTTCTTTGATGAGGATGCTTACGCACTGCATCGGGACACGTTGTCACGAGCAATTCGTTTTTCCTGAACCATGAGAAGCAGATTTTTGATTGATTGAATTTTCAGATTCGATGGTTCAACTATCTGAGCTTAACGATGGCCATGAGCGGACAGAATGATAGAAATGAGATTCGTTCTATAGAATAATACCTTGTGGAGATTGGAAGAAATTCGAAATATAGCAGTTGAAGTACCATAAGTTGCAAGCGATCATTTCTGTAAGTCGAAGGATTGCAGTTGCGGTAGTATTATTATATGACGAAAAAACTGTTCAGAAAGAGACTAGGTTAGAACATTATTAGAAATTCGATGAAGGGGCAGAACTACGGACTATCGAATATATTTCGATACCCTTTGTTATCGTTGTCTCGGAATCGAGATGCCACTGATATAGTCGGTTTTGCAGAGAACTGAAACTGGCATA